CGCCGGCCGTTGCCGCGCGTGCGCAGCAGCCTCCCTCGCCCGCCTCACGGGGGCGGTGCCTCTGCTCCCCTGCGCCGCCCTCGGGGGCCTTGTGGTGCCCCGGGGGTTCCTCCCCATCCCCTCCTTGGAGAGCTGTCTTGGCGGTCACTCCCTCTTCTCCCTTTGATCCATAGCACAAGGATCCACTTCAGGAAAGTGGGAAGAATCAGATTTCTAAACGCCCCAAAGTAGCTACAGTCCCCACAGAGTTTTTGATACTTTTTTCTTTAAGCGCAAGATTGCCCTGAGGTCTATCCCTAAACAAACCATTTGGGAGCAAATGCCGCTACCCAGCTTAAAAAGTATTTTTAAAAGACACTTTGAAGAGTGCACAACCCAGGACTGTGTTCGTCTGTTCCAGTGTGCGGTCATTTTCAGCCTCGGCAAGATGTGACAGTGTTTATCTTCATGAGATCTTCTGCAACAAATCAGTCAGATTCTGACATTTAAATGAAATTGAGAACGCATGTGAAGTCCCGCAGTCTGAAATGTGTATAAAACCTGAGGCCATGGACCTGGCCACAGCAGTATTTAGATGACATGGACATCTGCACCTCTCATTTTTCCTAAGACTGGTGAGCAAGCAGCTATGTGATCCATCAAAGATCCCTTTATAGGCCAATGATGTACTCATTTTCAGGTACATACTGCTACTGAAAAGCAACAGCAAAAACAAAAAAAAAACAAACAAACAAAAAAGAAAATTTTCAGCAACAAGCGATCCATAGAAATTTCCTATGTTCACTTTGTCTCCTGTAGCACCAAGCACCAAAATACCATCTCTTGTTTCTAGAAAAAGGCCAGAAAACAACTAAAATGTAGTGGTTCTGTGAAATCAGCAGAAATTTCACCCATTATTTCAAAAGGACCGATGTTTCACTCCAGAACTACAATGGCCCTTCACAATTTTTAGAAGGCTTTGGTATATTAGTTCTTTCACTCCTGCACACTCATTAGAAATTTGACTGCCAATTATAAACAGAAGTGGGTAAAATTATTTACATATTATTCTGGGGTCCTGTAGTCCTGCTAGACGTCCAATTTCCTCAAGGAATTTCAGGTGGTCTTAAGCACATAGTCACACAGAAAAATTGTAAATAATACTACGAAAGCAGCTAGGAACACAAACAGCCTCCCTAGGTGGCAGGTAGCTCACGTAACTCTCGTGAGACCCAAGTCCAACTTTAAGTTGTCATAAACAAGCTTCTCTGGCATTATCTCTGAGCTACAGCGGTCATGGTAACGATGTCGGTTTTATACCCACAGAATCATCATTTGTCTGTTCTTCCTCGAGCAAATTGAGGAATTAACTCAAAGACACCGAGAGAGCTGAAAAAAATCTTTCAAATCCATTAAGTCTGGTTCCTCCCATGATGACATCTTGAGTAAAGAGTCTGCGGCATGTACTGACCTGAAAGTAAGCACAGAGACTTCCTCTTTAAGCTTTGCTTTTTCCCCCCTCTCACCAGGGCAAGTTCTTCTCCACCTGAGGCTGACACAAGGCAGACAAGAGCAGGAGAAGGGGGAGAAAAACCCTGTCTCATATCTGGAGGACACAGAGAAACATTATGGAGGAGTCTGAGAAAATTCCTAAACCAGCTCCCCGGCGGATCTTCCATGAGCGACAGAGGGTCACCCGGCTGCCTTTATACTTGGAAGGTTACCTGTGGGTCCGGCATCCAAGATGCCAGGTAAGGTGACACTCCCCATCAGCAGATGCATTTAGATATTTTGGATAAAAGTCTGTCATTGTGAGCTAAAGACTAGGAGGAGAAACGTCTCCCAGTTCTGCCCAATATATATAGTTGCACTCAAAAAAAAAATCTATTTTAATTTGCACTTTCGGACATTTCTGTTCATGGTTCTTGACAAAAGTAACCTAAAGTATGAAATGTAACCATCCATATCACCAGGATCCATTATGATTTACTGTTACCTACTGAAATGCAGCCCGAGTGTGACTGATTTCATAGTAAACACGACGGTGAAAGGTTAGTGCCGTATTTTCAATATCAAAGGCAACGTTTGACATGGTAGTGTTGTTCTGATGCATCCTGTATTTACTGGAAAAAAAATGTCCATGCTGAAATATCCAGTGACACACCACCTAAAGTATATGTGAGGTGTTCCACCACACATACCTCGGATATCTACTTTTTACTGTTTGTTACGGGCTGATCATTTAACATAGGCCGCCTAACTAGAGAAAAAAAAAATAGTACCTCGATTTTTTGACAAGAGATATCCATTTAAGACCCAAATCCATAAATGCCTTCTTACTTTTCTGTGTGCTACAATAGCGTGTATTTTCAGAGCGTACCCTTAATGAAGTTGTCTTTGTTAGCCCTTGACAATGGTGATTCCTGCACTTGGGTTACAAAATAGTCTTTGCACTTATCCTGCCCTCATTCTCACCTCTGTAGAAACAGAAGCACAGACAGAGAAGAGAAAATGCGAGTTACAGAGGCTAAAGATGGACATAGTCAAAGGACAAAAATAGCACAGTGGTTCACAAACACCAGAACAAACAGGTACCGCAGAAAACAGGAACTCCAAGAAACAAAAAGCAGCCAAAGGATGTCTGCAAGCACTCAAAATTATTCTGTGCATTGCTTTGCTGTATCAAACATGAGAATACCTGCATGTTTACTAAAGCACCCTCTCATATTGCTCCACTTATATGCGTCTATGTAAAAATACAATTTTTTCCTGAAGATTACTCCTTCTGAAGCATATTATATGCTCTAATGGAATATGGAACAATACCAGATCAGAGCAGTAATACACAGTCTAGAGAGGGTTATGTGGGATCAGAAAAAAATAACACATTAATACATATTTCTTAACCAGATCTGACTTTTAAGAAATACCATGTTACTATCAGCCACTTCCAATCTTACCACACATTTTTGAAAAAAAAGGACGGATTCTGTGTGTGCATTACTTTTACAAATACTACTTTATTTTAAATATCCACAGATATCTTTGAATAATGGCCAGCTTCAGTTTTGCATAGGGCTGTTGCAAGTACTAATTCCTCCTGTGATAATCGTTCTGCTGTCTAATTTGACAGAAACCACCAGAAAATCTAGTTAGGAGTTACCAGTGTAGGGACCAAGGATCACCTGCAGGCTACTCAAGGAAAAAAAAATATTTTCTTTCCTCTAATTCATATGATCTTGCAGTTTTGAAGACTTTGTTTTTCCCTATTTCTGTGAAAATCTCCAGCTTTGTGTCAAAAAGAAAAAAAAACACAAAGGAAAAAAAGAAAACAAAAGATAACAAAGCAAAACAGGTAAGTAAACTTCAAACAGAGCAGAGCATCTCTTTTATAGGTTGGTATTCCCAATTCATAGTCCCATAACAGATAGATTTTTCAGTAACATAAGAAAAAAATATGTTTCTCATTCAGGGCATGATTGTATTAGGGAACATTTGTGACAGTGGGTCATACTTACCAATGGTGTGCTATTAATTTACAGACATCATCACATGTAATTTAAAGACAAAATACATAATATATCTCTTCAAGTGCAAGAAGTCTAATTACTAGGTCGGACTATTGACAAACTTTACAAGAAAGATGTTAACACAATTTAATCCCAAAAGCGAATTAACTACCATGGTCAAAACTAAATGCGGGTAAGCAATTCACGAGAAGAGTGTTCAGAAGATTGGCACCTTTAAACATGTTCACCTCATGCTATTTTCTGCCTTCTAGAGAATGATGTGCTGAGGAAATAGTTTGCTTTTTTTATATTGTCTGTTTGAAGCAGGATCAAGATCTTGCTTTTTTTGCCTTTCAACTTCAAAATTAAGCAAAAGTCCAACCCCCTTCTGTATTCATGCAAAGTATGGGGTGTCATTTTTATAAAGAACAACAAGACTTTTAAATGGTAATTGAAATACAGTTTTCTTTCATTACTGACAACTTTTAAATTAGCGAATGTTAAAAAATTGTCAGTGTTGGTTAACTGGTAACCAGAAGAGAAAGTGTTTTTCAGGGCTACTCAAAATGCACAGATGCCAAGTAAAGGGATATGGTTTACTCATTACCTAGATCAACATTGTAATGATCAAGATCAACAAATGACAGGAAAGTTTTCCCATTCCATGGCAGATTAGGACACTAGAAGACAAAGCCAGGGGCCTGTATGTCTTTCTAGCTATCAGTAAATTATTTAATAGACTTTTTCTTATCTTGCTTGCAAAACAAATATATCCTCACTCTTCAACGCTCTTTATAACACCGATATAAAAGCAAATGATGGCAGACATTTTTTATCAATACTTTAAGCATTTGGTGGGAAAGGAAAAGATTATCTTGACAAACCAACATTTGCTCTTTCAGCAG